TAGAATCAACTATTCAAAAGTTGAAAATTAAGTATCGAACTTTGATTCGAACTTGCTAAAAATCTGATTGCTTCGGATATTGAAAGAATGGCTTATAGCCTTCGACTCGTCCGAAACGAAAATCCATTACAACCCCAGAATTTGAGGTTTGTCAAAAATGGATTTATCTTGGCAGAGTCTCATCTTTCTCATGAGTATTCCTCATAAATCACAGTTTCAAATAAAATAAAAAGAGAGAACAATTTTTTTTAAAGATTATTTTAATTTTTAAAGATGAAAGAAGAGTTTGACATTATTAACGAAAGATTAAATGCTAGTTCCATAAGTTTAGATACTTATGGTAATATAAGAAAAGATGAAATAGATTTATTTAAAAAAGCTAGAGAAGATCTTTTACAAAATCTAGAATACCTTATATATGGAATTACACTCAAGAAAAATTATTATAAAAGGTATTCTACAAGAGATAATTACTATGAAGATTGTTTTCCAGAAATAGAAGGACAAGTTAATTATCTGAAAAGTATAAAGAAAAAATTAAAAAAACTAAGATTTAATATCTAGGAATCACCACAAAATTGGTTATAAACCTAAACTGAAAACGAAAGTGAAATTGGAAAAATAAGTGAAAATGATTAGTGAAAACGAAAGGAAAAATGGTATCAGAGCCTGGTATCAGGCGAAAGTACTAAAATATTAGATTAATGGATAGAGAAGATAATCTTTTAGATTACTACACAAAGCACGAAAAATCAGGCTATTTAATTGAAGCCCTGATAGATGCTAATAAATTAGGAATAGCAGATCATGACTTAAAAAAGAACCATAACTTCAGAAATGAAGGATTGATAAAGAAATTAAATAACTTAATATCTAGGAAAAATGAAATATTTTTTCGAATCATTTCTGGAGAAGAAGCAATAGATACAGATCAAACAGAAGGAAATGTAGTTATTCCTGTTATCTGTAAAGAACAAATTCTTTCTACATTGAAAGATATAAAAACAGAAACTAGGAATAAAATCTCTTACTTACATGTTTCTACTATACAAATGATTCTTAAATCAACTTATAGTTTAGGAATAGATTCTCCCATTACAATAAAATTAATTGATAATAGAATGATTAATTATTCTGATGCTCTAATAGCAGAAGGGAGTGGAAATTTAAAATTTGGTAAAATTAAGTTTAACTTAAACTACCAAGTTGGGATGTCCTAATTAGACAATAATTTAGATGATTTCATCACTTTGTGTTGGAACATGAAAAGAAAAATAATGAAAACTGGAAATCATCCATTTTCAGTAACATGGAGGATAAACTATGCATTGACTAACAGTCATCACAGTTTGTCATTCAAACCTCATGATAAAATTGAAATAGATGAATTGTTTTCACCTATATTACAACTAGAAGCACCTAGAAGGTCCTTTCAAGTACATAGAACTTCATCTTTTGTTAGACCTAAAATAGAATATGTTATTCCTAAACAGAATAATGAAGAAAACGAAGCAAGTTCTTCGAAAACAGAAACTTATACTGAAGTAATCATAAAACCAAATAACAATATATATAAAATTGAACAAAAGGTTCAAGAGATAAGTAAAGAATTAGGACTAAAAATATGACAAGTTCTAATAAAAGTTTTAGAAATTTTAGCTAAAATATTAATAAGGGTAGAATTGTATTTTTCACCCCTAAAATGGCTATATTTCATCTTTTTAAAAAAAAGATGGCTGTATTTCATTTTTTACTTCAAAAAAGTGCTAAAAACCGGCGGCTCTCATATTAATATTTATTGTGGACGGCAGTTTTACTCTGAACCTCGCTCACGTTTTTAAAACAACAGAGCAATACACAGCTTTGCATATAGAACCAATCAATCAAACAGTAACAATAATGTTTAATTGGTGGCACAAGGACATCAACTAACAGGTTTTTACCTAAATCTGAAGTTACCTCAACCATTCATCTGCTTAGAGTATCACATCTACTGCCCAAAATACAACGAGATGAACTAAAATATCTCCTTCAAGATGATGAAATCCCAAAAAACACAGCCAAAAAAAGATAATCAAATGTTGCAAAAAGTCACATTTTTCATGACCCAAAAACAATATCTACACCGTAAACAGTGCTGCAAAAAGTCACCATTTTTCACCACGGAGCGCCAGCTATCTCGGTGAACTCAACCTCGAGATCATCATCACCACCTCTATTAGCCTCAAAATAATCAATCTCCCTATCAAGTTTCTCAATCAGCCTCTCGCCCTCTGAGATCCTCTTCCTGAGGTTGCTCAGCTCATCTTTCGCCTTCTTTAGCTCATTTCTCTTCATCTCAAAACCCGCCGCCTGAGACTCATGATAAACATTCAGCAGCTTCTGTATACGGGCCCGTAAAAAGCCCACCATCATGCCCATATCCCCAAAGGCCTTCAGGGTTTTATCCCACTTCTTCAGATCATCAAGGGCTGTGCCGAGCCTGGCTAATCGCATGGCGTTGGCAATTTTGACCGTCTCATTTATCAGCCCTACCACCAGATTTATGTTGTGGTCCTTATCGAGATTTTGGTGGAGGAAACATTTTTTACTGAGGCAGAGTTTGTAGTAACATTCCCTGAGGTGGCCTGGAATATGGGAGTCGAGGATTAGGCCGTTGTATTCGATTTCGAAATCTTCAAAGCCTGTTACGTCCTCGAAATTGAGTTTTATGCCGTCGAGATTTTTGGTGCTGTTGCCAGATTGATCGGAAGCTGGTTCGGTGATGGATGCTGATTTTCTAAAGCATTTGTTTCGATTGTGATTTAACACTACAGGTTCTTCCAGATGCTTTTTCCGTGCTTTTTTTGCAACTGGCGGTTGCTCGGGTCGCCGCTGTTTTTTCATTTTCACTACAATCGTTTTTGGGCCAAAAAAAAAAAAAAATGATATAATCAGTAGTGTTACTTGTGCATGGAAGTAATGATGATAATTATAAACCAAAAGAAGAAAGAGCAACCCCTAACATGTTTCCATGTCCTATTTGTGTGTTACACATAAACCCATAAATTTGGTAAGCATGATACCATCTCCAATCATCTACTCTACTCTAGTCTAAAGTTTACTCTAGAGTAGAGAATGTCAAAATTTAACTTTCGTTTCCAGTCGTTCGCGCTACATTTTACTCTACATGAAATATATTAGTACAAAATAAAATTTAATTACAACTATACATCCAAATTTTAAAATTATTTAACAAAATAAACAATTCTATTAATGTATATTTTATCCAAATAATATTTGGAAATAAAATCAATTAAAAACTAAAATTGCCAGAAAAAAAATTGTAGCGCGGTGAATAGTACCGCGCTACATGCAATGTTGTTCATATCTTCAGAGTAGTGCAAAAATGTAGCGCAACATTGGAGCAGTTTTTTTCCCATAACTCATGGTGTTTTGACTTTTGAGTGCTGAAAGACCAATCAGTTCTTTCTGTAGTTAGAGGAATAACATGTGGAGGCTTTCGATTATATTGCTAACATAATAAATTGGATCATGATTTGGAGCGAAACACAAAACCTGTCTTGATTGGCTCTGCCTCCGCGTGAAGGTTAAGAAGGCTCCTAGCTGCATTTTCTTCCTTAGATGTGCCGTCCCTTACTATGTGTACCTTGAGAAAATATGAAATAACAAATGGAAAATGGCTCACCATACACATTGTGAAGATGTAATAAGATGTAAACCGTGAGATCATGAATCGGGCCAAGCAATGGAAAACAAGAAAAATGGAAGTGTTTTCCAGAGGAAATGTCACACGGAACATCGAAATCGGGATAGGGCAATTACATTAAGAACCTAAATAGCAGCGGTGGAGCTAGAAACTGAATATAATTACATACAAACTCATTACATTTTAAATACTATTTACATACATACTCAAAATTCCACTCAATCAACTTTATTCAATATTAGCTCACTTTAACTCAAAATCCAATCAAAATCGGTTTTGATTTATATCCCATCACCCCTTAGAGTTCAGGAACAATGTGAACAACTGAATAGTGAAATTCGTGAGAAAAATAAGAGATGACATTGGCAAAAATCACCAAGCCTTGAAGCCCCCTTAGACCACTAGAGAATACCAGAGATTGGACCACCAAGCCCCTCGCCTAACGCTCACAGATTCTCTACAATAATCACTTTCAATCTTTTGGTTATCCACATTTATTTATGGAAACGCATAATGATTTTTGCTTATACAAAGAACTTTTACAGCTTACTCGCTTACACACTCTTTTAACTACACAATTCTAAAGTTTCGAGTAGTGGGCCCCTCTAGCTGCTTGGGCCTACGCTTGGGTCGCAGCCAATTTAACCACATATAAGCTGTCTAGGCTGCCTAGGCAAGCTTCTCAACCTCTATACCACTAGAACAGACCTTTGTCTTCTAATAGTTATGTTAATCAATGTAATAGCTTGGCTACATTATATTTTGGATAACACTATTATTAAGCTACATTAGAATTACTATGTTTCTTATTAATATTGTGTGATGAGGAATATACATAAATTTCAATATTTTTATGACCATGCCTAGGCCCCGCTTTGTCCAAGCCTAGGTGCACTAGATCCCAGCCCGCGCCCATATAGGAGCTTTAATTTTTTTTAACATTGTTGAATGTTTATAAATCATCACAAAGTTACTAACTTACGAGTTTCAAATTTGGGGGTTTTAATGCAAAATAAACCACATCTTTGAAAATCATTTTATGCTTTGGAAAGAGATTTATACTTATGCTAATATGACAGTTCGCCCAACAGCGTCAAGTAACGGATTACAAAGTGGTAATATTACTACTTACAGGATAATGAGATATGAATTGTCTTTTCGACTACACAATATTGCCACCACGAAATAGGCCAAAAAAGGAGCAAGTATGAGTAAAAACCACACAAGGATGAACAGAATTACCTTAAACTTGCATGATTTGATCAGCTGAAACACCAATGCATCCCCCTCAACCAACTTGTGTTCAATTGAAAAACCTCTCCATCCAGCACTCAGCCCTTGTTTACCCGCCAAATACTTTGTACTATGTTCTTTACTTTTACCCACCGAATTTACTGTTGAATCATGCTCATTTGCAGCCACCAAAATTACTGTTGAATCATGCTCTGGCAGATGATCAACACAGAGTTTACTTGGTAGACCCTACCAACAACAAAGTTTATTATTATTTTTACTTGAACTTTTTTTTTGGGGATACTCTTAATTTGGGCTAGTTACAACAAAGATATTTTCATAAAATTTCTAAGTCCCTACCATTTTTATTTGTAACAGTTACACGGGGACAACAAAAGATTTTTTAAACTGCTCTAACATAAATTCTTGTATGAGGCAGCCCAACCGTTTAGGCAGGTCGACCTGTCATACTTTTTTTTCATTTCACAAAAATACTTACATTTTTTTATGAGATCATATTTTAGTTCATGTTGGCTTTTTTAGAGTATGACATTTCATTATGAAAATATGGTTGCCGAAATCGTTAGGCCAGCCTAACAGTATCCTTATCGTTGTTCTAAATATATTTTGCTGATAAAGGGAAAACAAGGGTCACATGGAACCAAATCAAACTCAAAAATTCATTGTGTCTCTTCCCGAATAAGCAAAAATATTTGGGGCCCTTTGGTTATTATCCTTTTTGTTCCATAGGTTTTTCCTTCATTTTTGCCCGTTTATTTCTAGCGCTCGTATGATTTTAAAGTCTTACCAACCAGAATCCGCGTACGACATGGGATTTGCTCATATGCTTTACAAAACTAGGGAACTTGGACGGCAGATTAGCTTGAATTTGCTGTGCTCTTTCCAAGGCAGAGATCAAGACATTACCGCCATTGCCATCATCGCCTCCTTTTGCATTCTCCATGGGTGGTTCGTAACTTACAAAATAAAAGAATTAATGAACATAAAAATTGAGAAGGCACATTGCAAACCAAAATCTATCAACAGTGCATACACTTCTTTTCCTGAAAAGATTCTTCAAGCATCAGACTTACCTTATGACATGCTCATCAATTTTCACCATTTCTTCCTGCATACACATTAGACAATAAGATTCTCATCAGCTTATCGTAAATGAAGCAGCAAAAGCAACAGACAAGCTGAGATAATCTTAGTAATAGAAATGGAAAACGAAACAAAGATCATCTTAGTTTATCTGAAATAGACCAACCATACTCATTACCAAAGTAAAAGACAACTAAAAACCTTCAAATCACTCAACAGTGTAATTGCAATGCATTTGTTAAAACTCAACCTCTGTCCCACAATACACACTCAAATCGAGATAAACATACTCGTAACGCACTATCTTCTAAACTTCCGTACTTGCATTAACAAATGATCAAATGAGGTCACCCAATACAGAAGAATTTCATGTAAACAAACAATATTTGTTAAAAAACGACTTACAGGTGATTTTTTGTTAGTGCTTCTCGCGAGATTGAAATTGGATAAGTCTCCACACTGAACACAAACCAAGATTATAACCACATTACATTTCCAATTCACAAATACAGAGTGTATGTCTTCACTCTTTATCCACATTTAGGTTCAAATCATTACACTCAAAGAAGAAGGACTATACGAACCAGAATCCAGAATAACCGTGGGAAGGCAGTACAGACTACGCTGTATGAACTCCATAAATATTACTATCAATAGTAATAAATAAATAAATAAAGAAAGAAAGAAGAAACCCTTACATTGTCTTCCTTAGGTTTGAGACCCTCTAGCCGGGCCTCGACCAGCATTCTCGTTTTCTCCCATTTCTTCTGCTGAAGCTGTTAACAAACACATTGCAATCGATCGCGTCGAAGCCCGATTTATGTAAGAACAATAATATACTTCAAAAACATCAAAAAATCAATATATGAGAGTGAGAGTGATTGAGAGAGAGAACCTCGGACTTTGTCGTCGAAGGCAGAGAGCTTCGTTTAGAACTCTTCACAGGAGATAATGTCATCGAGTGTTTCGTTAATTTTTTTCTTTCTCTCTAATTTTTTTACAGTAGATTTTGTGGTAGAAGCTCTGCGCAAGTTATCGTTGGGACTAAAAAATCATCCGAAAAAATAAAAATGAGATTGAACAATATATGGAAAGTGTTGTTTTTTGAATTCAAAATGGGATTTGACAAGGTTGTCAGACGGGTGCTCTGGTTTTCATGAAGGCGAAAGGGCACCGAGCGGGGTGCAATGTTTTCGAAAATAATTATCTACTTAAAAAAAATGGAAAAGTAAAAAAAAAAGACTTCTTTACAAAAATGTATATATATATATATATGGTTGGGTTCACATGAGAATGCATGAGAGTAAATTGTAGCCATTAGATCATCCGATCTAATAGCTTAAAAAAAACTAAAATTATACCTTCATTAAAGATATTTTAGTCATAACCATTACACATCACCACCCACACCCACTTAACACACACGAAACACACGCACCACACACGCACACACGCATCCACACACAAAAAAAAAAAAAACATACACAAACTCTGTACACACACACTGAAAACTGAACACACTCGACTCACACACACAGGCTGTGTCTTAGTCGCAACCGCCGGACTCCGCCGATGTCGCCGGTCACCGGTCCCACGCCAATCGCCATCCACAGCCGGTTCGTCCATGCCTCCAGCCGCCGTCAGTCCCTGCCTCTCGCCGCTGTCGGCACTTCCTCCACCTGGGATCGAACAATCGTCTTCTCCTGCTGGGCACCCACCATCTGCTCGATCGGCATTTTTTTTTCCTCGAAAATCTGTCGGAAGAATCGCGACTGACCACGCGAATCTCGCCGGAGTCAAAATCCCGACTCCAATACATGGCACTCTGGCGGGATAATAGGCTTGGATACGGCGCCGGAGAGCGGAGAGAAGTCATCTTCGGGGGAGCAGGCGACTAGACGCTGAAAATTGGCATGAGACAGAAGGGCTATGTGATGTACCATTGTTTGAGAATTAGATATTTATGAGGGGTTTGATTGCAATTTTAGAATTTTTATAAATGTCAATTTAATCCCTGGGCTGAAACTGTAATTTTGAAAAACTTTATAAAACATATTACTCCCTCCTATCTTTTTTATTTGTCATTCTAGCTTAATTGACTATTGGATAAATAAATGTCATTTTGGCTATTTTGTTCATATTTTTTCAATTTTAACCCCTCCACCTAATTTCCAATGTCTCTTCATATTCTATCTCTCTCTTGATTTTCCACAAATCATCATTTACTTTTTACACTAATCATCATTAATTGTGTTGCTTAGGGGTCGTTTACTTCGCGGGTTTGGGACAGGATTAGACAATTAGTCCCGGCTATCCGTCGTTTACTTCACGGGTTTGGGACAGGATTTTAATGACGTGGCGCACATGTAGCAGCCCTCCATCCGTCAGTTTCCGATAATAAAATCCCGAGCCAAGGGTGTGATAATTTAATCCCGTTTTTTGTATACCTATTTTGCCCTCAAAATCTGCTGCCAAAAGACATAATTACCACTTAATTTACTATGATTTACAACTTCATACCAAACAAAAGGGATTCCATCGGCCATTTTCGAACCCTACTTACAGCTGCACCTCGTCGCTCAGAACCTTCGACCTTCGGAATCTCCGTCACCGGTAAGTGGAGACCTTCACCATATTACTCTATTCCATTTTCATTTTTGTCACTCTAGTCAGTTCGTCGGACGATTCTTGTAGTGTTGATTCACGGTTCGTGCTATTTTCATTTTGCCCTAATTTCTGCAGAAACGACGACGAGATTGTAGTGTTGATTCACGGTTCGTGCTCTATATCGGGACTAAAGGTGAGGTCGAATATCGCTCAATTAACCTTTTCCATTTCAATCTTGCCCTAATATGTTGTTCGAAAGATGGCGGTTTGGATTGGTAATTCGAATTTTGCCCTAATTTTTTTATTTTTTTCAAAATCCTAATTTCTGTGAAGAAACCCTCATCTCCAGTCGCCACTATCTCTCCGGTCTTCTCCGTGTCAAGTGAAGGTAAATAGCTTCCTAGCATTTTGTACAATTGCTCAGTTTTACCTCGTTTATGTTATAATGTTCGAGGCTTCGTGCTCATTGACTTTACATGCTGAAAATTATGAGTTGTAAGGCATAAAAATCATTGTACACTGGTGAGAACCATATTCAGTGCAATCAGAATTTGCGAGAAACAAATCATGTTTTGTCTGCAGTTTTGACTTGCCTGATTTGATTAATTGCTGAGCCTTGTTTTATCATGTTCTATTCTGAGTTCATGATGCAATTGATAGTTATAAGTATGCCTTGTTTTGAACTTGATAGTTAGTGGGTCTAATTTTCAGTTTATAAGTATGCTTTAAGGTGTTGCAAGTGTGTTAAGCTGTTGCAATCATGTTTTGTCTGCAGTATTGCCTTTCCTTGATTTGATTAATTGTTGAGCCTTGCTTTATCATGTTCCAAGCTGAATTTGTTGAGTTTTATTGAGTTATGGGTCAGCCACTAATTTTGTTTGTTTAAGCCATACAGGTCAATGTTGCATGCTAGTATATTTAAGTTTTAAAAAATATAACCTATTGGTTTTCGATCCCTATTCTTTGGTGCTTATTTGCCTTGGTTCTTATATGTCACTTGTGTGCTTGAAAGCTGTGTCACTTGTGTGCTGAAAAGCTGTGTGCTAGGAGTTATTAACAGTCACATAGTTCTTATGTGTGTGCTTGGTAAGAGTTTTTAAGAATTGTTGAATTAAGATCATGAGTAGTACAAAGCTTTGTCTGGATTTGGTCTGTTAGCTGTTATAAGCCATGTTTTGTGTAGTTTACATGCTCTATTTCTGAGGTTTACAGACCTTATTGAGATCACAATTGTATGATTGAAAGTAGCATTTCCCTTCAGAAATATTCTTACTTTGGACTGTGGTTGAGCAACACAAAGATTGGGGAATGTGTGTTATTAGACTTCAAATTAGTTTCTCATCTAATTTACTGGTTTTTGTGACTGATTTGTGTTGGCATAGTCCTATGATTTTGGTATTGAATTCAACACTAATGAATGTAAAAGTTCTTAGATGTCATTACAAGTACTTGCTTAAATGTTGTATATGTGTCTGAGTACAACTGCAAACTTGAAATCCTGTGCCAATACCTAAAATCCTGTATATGTCAATTCTACTTTGTTATGTCTGTTTAAAGACTGTTGGGGTCAAGTTTTGTCAGTTGTTTAATGTAAGTGTATCCTGCTCTTGTTTCCCTGTCAATATGTTGAAGTTGGCATGTGACTTTAGTTGCTGCAAATCATGTGTTAAGCTGTAGATCATGTTTTGTCTGCAGTACAAAGCTTTGCCTGGGTTTGGTATGTGAGCTGTTACAAGCCATGTTTTGTGTAGTTTACATGATCCATTTCTGAGGTTTATAGACCTTATTGAGATCCCAATATTATATAAGATGTCATATAGCAAGAGAACCTTTTTTTGTGGTTTATTATGCATTTTTTTATTTCCTGCTTAAAATATAGTTTGTTTATGTTAGTTGTAACAATTGTATAACCTCTCTATATCTATATGTTGGTAGTTCTGAAATTGTGAAAGAAAAATGCCTATAAGTGCTGTTTTATTGAGCCTAATTTGATTGTTGATGATAATTGTGTGGCATTTGTACAGTATTTTAAGTTGGTTTAGCATTGTGTGCCATTTGTACAGGATTATGATTTTAGTTTTAACTGCTTAAGCTGGTTCATGTATTTTTGATTGGTGTGATTTGCTTAATCGTGCTTAATTTGTTCTAATTGTGTTTGTACAAAATGAAGGCAAGTATATAAAAGAATGCTGTTACACATGACTGCTTGATCTGGTGATTCATTTTAATTATTTTCTTAACTGATATGTCATTTACATATCAGCAAAGGATTATAATTTGTCCACAACTGCTTGATCTGGTGCTTTGTTTTAATTATTTTCTTTAACTCATGTCATTTACATATCAGCAAATGACATTCATTTGTCCACAAGGGCAGCTTTGTCCTTCCTTCTGATTTTTCACTTCTTCATTTGTCTCAATTTAGACCACCAATGGGCACAATAGTGGTGGTTTCAACAAATTTGCTTGTTCGTTTTAATTGTGCTTATTTTGTTTTAATTGTGTTTATGTGTGAATATAATTCAACACTCCTTTCTCCATAATATCTACTACTTACACATAGTTGACACACATTGAAGTCCGTAAGTTGTTCAATCTTCGTAGATGGATAACGTGCGAGACAAATTACTAATTCTCACTCTTTTGGAAGAGATTGTTCTTGGTGCTCGATTTTTTTTCATAGTAGCTAGTTACTACTACCACAAATTCATACTCCCTCGCCGCCGTCGACCTTCGTTGACTAGCAGACTCACATACCGATTGAGGGATAGAGTGCCCCTTCAAGTGAGTCATATGCAAAGGCTAGTCGACGTCAGCGACACCACTTGCCTTGAGAACCTCCGTATGGACAGAAACTGTTTTGGTCGCCTTTGTTTCCTCCTTGAAAATTTAGGGGGTCTTGTTCAATCTAGAAACGTTGCACCGAGTGAACAAGTTGCTATGTTTCTTTCAATCCTCGCACATCACAAGAAAAACGTCACCTTGAAGTTTGATTTTAATAGATCAGGTAGAACAGTAAGCAAGTACTTTAACCGTGTACTTGATGCGGTAATCCGCCTTCACACCGTCCTAGTCGCCACACATAAGCCAGTTGAGGATGATTGTTCAGATGCACGGTGGAAATGGTTCAAGGTAGCCTACAACACAAGACCCTTACCAACCTTTAGTCAATTTTTTCTTTTCTATTCCTTCCAAACTAATGCTATTTTTTTTTTTTTTTTTGTTAGGGGTGTCTAGGAGCACTAGATGGTACATACATTAACGTCCGAGTCCCGTCAAAAGATAGGGGACGATATAGGAATCGAAAGGGTCAAGTATCAGTTAATGTCCTTGGGGTGTGCGATAGAAATATGAACTTCGTCTACATGCTTTGTGGCTGGGAGGGGTCTGTTGCTGATAATCGAGTACTAAGAGATGCAATCACTAGGGCAAATATTATTTGGTGGATGGTGGTTACACTAATGGTTCTGGCTGTCTATCGCCATATAGGGGTGTCATATATCACTTAGATGAATGGGGTACAGGGTCCCGTACTCCACAAAACTTTAGAGAACTCTACAACCTTCTGCACGCCAAAGCTAGGAACGCGATTGAACGTGCTTTTGGCATTCTAAAAATGCGTTGGGCAATTCTTAGGAGTAACTCTTTTTACCCCATTAGGACCCAAAATCGCATTATCATGGCATGCGCGCTTATTCATAATTTTATACGTACAACAATGCCCGAAGACCCCATCGAGAACGAGATTCCAGAATTCCTGATACCTTCCAACCCACCGTCTGACGACGACTACATAGATCAAGTTGAAAGTAGTCTCGAATGGACCCAGAAGCGCGATCTCCTAGCCCAACAAATGTTCACAGAATGGCAGGGCGGTGTTCCCTAATAGATAAACAAACTTATCTTTGTGTACTTTCATAAGACTCTGTTAGTTACTAAGTATGTGTGACAAATGTTTTTAAATTATCTTTTGTTGTTTATTATACAATATTAATGTTGTTGAATATGTTGTTATGGTGATTATTGACATTAAATAATGTTGTGTTTTGTGTATTTCCTGTATATTTTCTTGTGTAGTATATCATTTTGTTAGACGACATTTTTTTAGATACTTTTATTTGGAAATTCTCTATTAACCCAAAATAAAAATAATAAAAAAATATTGCTACAACATTATTGTTCCTACAGCAAAATTGTCATGGAACCATCAATGACATCGGGTACCGGAAAAGAGGGCGGCGCCACCTCTAAACGCCGTGTGTGGATCGGCTGAAGAGAATGCCCTAGTTAATGCTCTAAAGGATATTGTAACCGAGGGGTGGAAAACAGAAAACGGCTTCAGAACGGGCTATGCATTTCAGTTGGAAAAAAAGATGAAGACATATCTTCCCGGATGTGAATTTCGTGCTGACCCGCACATAACTTCCAAAATGCATGTTTGGAAGAAAACATATACGAGTTTGGCCAATATCAAAGCAAATAAATCGGGTTTGGGATGGAATGATGTTTCAAAAAGCTTCTCCTGTGATGATGATAAGTACCAATCGTTCATGATGGTTTGCTTAAAATTTCAACTCTGAGTCATCTATATATTTCACATAATTTACATATTCTCATTACATTTTTTTTTTTTTTTTG